TAAGACTTAATTGACCAAGCATATTGTGCTCAAATAGCATATAGTGACCTCTCTCATATGGGAGGTCATGCGATCAAATGTCGGTAAAAACGTTGTTGACTCTTTGTGACTAAGTTGAGAAAGTACAATATAATAGAGTCAGTAACATTCAAAATAAAACGAAGAGGATATATATATGGCAAATTATTGTAGATCATGGTTCAAAACGACGTCGTTTCGATGTTTTAAAAAAATTCCTTATTTTGCGCGTGTGTTAGAATAATGAACATTTTAGGGTAAGATAATGTATTTTATGAGTTAGAATAATATATTTTATGTGTTAGAATAATATACTTCATATGTTAGAATAATGTATTTTATAAGCTAGAATAATGTATAATGTACTTTATGTGTTAGAATAATGAAATTTCTTAGGTAATATAATGTATTTTATGAGTTAGAATAATGTATTTTATGTGTTTTTGGACTGTGATCCACACAGCTATGTGGATCACAGTCTACACAATAATAATTGATATACATATGTATGTGTGTAAGGCAAATTATGCTATGGACCCAGGTCCGAAACGCGCGTCTGGAATAACGGTGCTGTTAGTGGCACTGTTTCCTCAGCCAATGATTTATTTATTTATTTATTTATTTTTTTGTTGTGAATATAGAGTTAAAAATTGTGAATATAGATTCAAAAATTGTGTTATACGGTTAAATATAGAATTCTATAATTGTGACACCCAATAAACCAAAAGACCTAATCCATATAATCAAGCAAGGGATGAGCGCTAGTAGGGGAACAAGAGTTGTCACGATATAAAATTGAAATTCATAAGTGACTATAAGGAGCCAACGACTCCCTCTCTTATAGAGTTCTTTAATTGTGAATATAGAGTTATAAAATTGTGAATATAGAGTTATGCAATTGTGAATATTGAGTTCTGTAATTTTATTTATTAAGATCTAAAATTGTGAATATAAAGTTCAAAAATTGTGAATATAGAGTTCAAAAATTATGAATATAAAGTTCAAAAATTATAAATATAAAGGAACGAATTCTAAAGACAAACAGTAAGTTAACAGCAAGGTACGGAGTAACATTTTTTTTTTTTAAAATTCAAACGGTGTTGTTTTAAAACTAAAACGACATTGTTTTGGACTCGGATTCACCTTACAAGATGGACACAGATACATGGCATAATTGAAGTGTGTAAGGAAAAGAAGAAGTCCGAGGCTTAGGGAGCAAGAAAATGACCGTACGCTACATGATCAATTTAATTTGTTTATAAAAGAAAACGTCCGGTCTTAGGTGGCCATCTTTGATGACATTTGGTTGGCCACATGTCTCTTAACGTTGCAGAAGTTTTCTATTCCTATATTTTAATCTTTGGAGTATAATTTTTTTATTTCTTCTTTGGTTCTATTGTTAGTTAATATTTTAATATTAAAGGACATTTTATTTTTAGGAAAGGATTAGCAGAGTGAGTGGAACATTATTCAGGTATTAGAGGATCATAGATTTTTTTTTTTTTTTTTGAAAGTAGAGGATCATAGATTTAATTCTTACTAACATCTCCAAAAATTGGTCCTTAATTATTACAGTGAAACACAAAAATGAAAAAATATAAAAAAATGAAAAGAAAGTTTAATTTCTTGAATATAATATATTATATGCCTTTAAGAGTTTGTTATATTGGGGGCAACTCTAATCGAATTAGTCAATATTAACTTGATAATGATAAATGAACCAGTTTTCGGAAAAAAAAAATTGTTCAAAGGAAATATCCAAATCTGTATTCTGGGTATTGATATTTCGAAAAAAACAGATCCATGAACAAATTTGTGTGTATATTGTACGGATTCATCTTGGAAAATAATCTCAGAAACTGGTAATGTTGGTATATATTTCCAGAAAATTGCTCAAAAATATGAACATAAAATTTATGCTCTATGATTGCATCATAGAAAGTTGTATATATAAATTCACAGATTATATATACGATCAGAACATATAATCAGATGTATAAATTCACAGATCATATAAATATGCAATTTGAAGCATCTGCAAATAATAAGGCTTAGAAAACTCTTAAAAGTACTGTTCATCGGGATTGAGCGGCTGATAACGTGTTGTGATGTTGTCGTTTGTGCCCGTTGGCCTATAGCTCCTAACCGGTGAGTGTAAGAATTGAATCAACAATAAGAAGTAATAGACAGAGAGAGAAGTGAGTGACATGATTTCATTTCCATGGCTTCCTCTTACAAAAGGATTACACACATATATAATATAGAATAATAATGGCATACATAATGGGACATTAATATGTCTGTTACAAACGTTACAAAATAATTGCCACCATTAATATTTACAACAGTTTGGTTCGTTTAAACTTCCCTAGAAAAAATTTTATAATCTCTAATATATCTTTCCTATAAATAATCATTAAAGAATATATATAACAAACAATCGAGAAGTTTAATAAATTACTTGTAAAATTAATAAAACATATGTCAAAAAATCATCAAGTCATCAAATTAATTAAGTACGCTAAAAATTAAACTCAAATTATATATGAAGTACTGCATATATATATATATATATATATATATATATATATATATATATATAGAGAGAGAGAGAGAGAGAAAATTACACTTTTGGTCCTATGACTATAGTGTGTGTGTTAATTTCGATCCGTAACTTTTAAAACTAACAATTTAGTCCTTTAACTATGTTTTTTTTAGCAGATTTGGTCCTCGCGGCCAGATGTTGCCTGAAAATTGTAGACCATTTATAATTATTTAATTATGAGGACAAATAGGTCATTTCAAGTCATTTATTCTTCTTCCTCCTTCGTTCCTGCTGCTTGTCGTTTGCTATGCTCACCGGAGCGTGGAGTCTTGCAATGCCGGTTGAAGCGGCGATTCGGTGAAGCCTGAAGTAGAAGAAGTCAGCAGAGGAAGTAGCAGTCGCAGCAGCAGAGAAAATTAACAAGATATATATGCAGAAAGATGGAATATAGTAACAAGTATTTTGAATTTTTAGATTAGAAATTCAGACTGAGAAGGAGAAGAAAGATGAGATTTTCTCCACTGCGTCAGAATTTAGTACTCCATGAGGCGTCTTCTAATAGCTATTTTGAATTTTTAGATTAGAAATTAACAAGTATCTTGAATTTTTAGATTAGAAATATCTGGAAAGTTTCAGGGCCATAAAGATGAAATATAGTACTCCATGACTTAATCTAGTGTGTTTGCACACATTTAATGTGTGTTCGCACACACTTAATCTAATCTAGATCATTAAAAGATATTAGATGGATGCACATGATGTGTTCTCACGTGCTCACCTAAGTACATGTTCTCATATGATCCTAACTCTCTCTCTCTCTCTAAAGATCGCGTTCAGGTTCGAACTGCCCGCACAGGAGAGAAATGAGAACCATCAAGCGCGCTCCACGTGTCCTGCACCAATAGTTATAAATAGGTGAACCTAGGTGAAAGTAGGTGCACTTGTAGGTGAAAGTAGGTACACCAGATCAATGAATGTTAACAAGACAAAATTACATGCACTTGTAGGTGAAAGTAGGTGCACCTGTAAGTGATTTTACCTGCACTTTTTACTTGTAAAAGTGCACCAACTACTTGCGCATATAACGCATTTACATGCACCAAAGGACACGTGGCGAGCACTGGATGGTTCTCAGTTATCTCTTGGGTGGCTGTTCTCACCAGATCGCGCCCCTATATATATATATATATATATATATATATATATATATATATATATATATATATATATATATGTATATATATATATATGTATGTATATATATATATATATATATATATATATATATATATATATATATATATATGTATATATATGTATATATATATATATGTATACATACATACATACATACATACATACATACATACATATATATATATATATATATATATATATATATATATATATATATATATATATATATGACTACTATATATTACCATAGGTGCTTTGAAAATAGTGGGAGAATAAATTTTATTGTTCTAGTAAGGAAATAAATAGTAGGCCTCTCAAGAGATTTTCTACGTATTGCAACGGAGACTATAGTCCGCCCTTGAGGAAATTGGTTATCAATATTTGTGAATGGGACCCGTTCACTTCTAAAACGAGAGTTTCATCGTCTAAGAGCGCGGTCTGATAGCTTAGCTAGAAAGTTTAAAATTTCTTGGGAATTTAAAAGGTGAGTATATTATTCCCACATTTGGTGCAATCTTTGACTTAGGAAAGTTCGAGCCAATGGAAATTACATTCTTTCCTAAGTCAAAGATTGCACCAAATGTGAGAATAATATACTCACCTTTTAAATTCCCAAGAAATTTTAAACTTTCTAGCTAAGCTATCAGACCGCGCTCTTAAACGATGAAACTCTCGTTTTAGAAGTGAACGGGTCCCATTCACAAATATTGATAACCAATTTCCTCAAGGGCGGACTATAGTCTCCGTTGCAATACGTAGAAAATCTCTTGAGAGGCCTACTATTTATTTCCTTACTAGAATAATAAAATTTCTTCACCCACTATTTTCAAAGTACCTATGGTAATATATAGTAGTCATTTGAACCCCATGCCTAAATCTATTAAATAGCTAATACAATAAAGAAATATTTTATATGACAGTCAAAATTTCCATTTTGTTATGACCAATTATAAATCTTACGTATCTATACATGAAAAACATTAAATATTTCCATTATATAATTACAAATTTAAGATCCTATATACCAACTTGTGAAAGTCTTCATCCATGGTTGAGCTGTAAACTTCCAATTTAATTTGTTTTTATTTTAATACCATAATAAAAATATTCCAATCAATCACATTGAATTGAAAAAGTTCATGGAAAACAAGGACAATCAGCTATAAATACACCACTCATTCTATATTATCAATACACTTAATCTCTATATCTTTGTGAGTGAATTATATTTTTCTTGAAAATGTCTAGCAATAATAGTACGAAAAGGGCGGGTAGAGGTAGACAGAGGATTCCCCTATCTCGAATTGAAAATGACGCTCATCGTAGTGTCATCTTTTCGCAACGTCGCCGTGGTCTTATCAAGAAGGCCAACGAGATATCTACATGGTGTGGCGTGGAGATGTTGTTGGTGCTTATTTCCCCTTCTGGCAAGGCTTATACTTTCAGCAAGCCTAACATGGATACGATCCTAAAAAATTATTTTGGGGATAATCCTTTGGCACAAACCAATTTTGCCGAACAACACTTGCGTGCTCAGCAGGAGGTCAACATGCAAATTCAGTATTCTCGAATTACTGACCTTGAAATGCAAATTCAAGATCAAATGAAACTAAATCATGCTTTGCGTGATGCCAAAAAAGCAAGACCTCCTATTTCTGATCTTCCATTATCAGAGCTACAAGCCATGAAACACCGCATTGAAATGCTTCGATCTTATGTTTTGCAAGCAAAAATGAAAGTTCATGCACAAGCCATAATTTCTCATGACGATGTTGGTCCTAGCGGTACTAGTGCCCTCTAATGAACTATTAAGAACCAAATGGTGACGGACATTTCCCGAGAAACCTAATCAGAAGAATTAAAATATTTGTGATATCTAGCATATTTATATGTTTTTTTCATAACATTCAAAAAAAAAATATATGTTTTTTTCATATCATTTTCGTATTTTATTTGTGAACAAAGAAAATTGAATAAAATATAGAAATTCAAAATTCTTGAGTTACAGTAGTATATATCAATGCGGTGTGAGTACAAGTTTCTGGGATATCCTCTGATTCTTCAATTAGATGCCTTGAACACTCCACCATTGAAGGGCCTCCAGGTTTCAAGTGGTTTGATATTCAAAGAAGGACTTGTATATATAGCTTGTTCTTCTTGAAGGGCCTCCGGGTTCAAATGGCTTGATCTTCAATAGAGGTTTGGATCAACATGCATTTTGGAGGAGGAGGGGTTTTTACTTTCAGGATCACATTTTTATTGTGATCTCTGAATACTTTCTATGATTTTTTCTAAGATGTGTGATTACATAGAAATGAAAGGTCATATTTATAGCTGTAGGATACAGAGTTTTGATAAACTCAAACTCTTTTGATATTATCTAATTAAACAAATTAGATAATATCAATATTATCCAAAATATTTTAAATATATTCAAATATACTAATATTGATAAATAATCAATATTTATCAAAATTTAAGTGTCTACATTATTATGTTTTGAAAAAGTTATATACAAATGATTGCTTAATGATAATATGATTGCACATGTGCATTCTTGTTATCTTTTAATATTCATGTTAGAGTTTTGATATTTTAATAAATTATTTATGGCAATAATATATTGGCATTTACTTTAGTTTTTTGTTTTGTCAAACTTTTTTTTTTTTTTAATGTTACTAGCTCTATTACATTGTAGTATCTGTTCATATACTTTCTCAATCTACTGAAACACAAAGAGCCAATAACGCCTCCACTGAGGCTCGAACTCATAACCTTCCAAATGGAAGTCCAACCCGGATACCATTAGACCACATAGTCCTGGTCAAACAGTATTTACTCATTTGTTTTGTCAAACTTAATTTACTCAAAAGTACAAAGAAAAAATAAAAAAGAGAAAAAAAAAATTCCACATAGGAAGGTAACAAACAGTTATTGACGAAACTAACAATAATGGTGTGTTTGGTTCGCACATAAGAATTGGAATCGAAATAGGAATCAATGACTTGTTAGTGGTAATGGGTTCTGATGAAAGTATTTTGCATGTTTGATAGTAGGGTGGAATTGGAATGTTTACTAGTATTAATGTTTGATTGTGTATGACCCTATAATTAGAATAAATGTTTTTAAAATACAAAAATAAAAAAATCAAGGCAATTGATCATAATATAATGACATCCAAAACATCAAAATGAACAAAAAAAATTTAAAAATCTAAAAATATTAATCCAAACTTAAAAATTAGATTATCAATAAGATGGAATGATACCCATTTTTAATTAGGGATTGAAATTTTTAATTGAAGCGGTAATCAAAATTCAAGTTATGCTATGCAAAGTTGTCAACCAAACACTAACTATGATTTTAATTCATATTTCTAATGTATAAAACCCATTAACCAAACACACCCTAAGTATTTTTATTTTTTTTTTCTTATGGAAGTGTTTTGTTTCTCATGAAAATTTGTTGCTTGATATGCAATATGTTCCAACAAGTTGTCCAACAACATGTATATGTTGACATTAGCTTCCGCCACGTGATGATGACTTAGGAAGATAAATAAAAAGGTATTGAATAATAAATATTGATATTTCTCTGGTTATCCATTCTCATATACAAAAAAAGCTATTTAAATTAGATAGTTATACTAATGCTTGAAATAACTAAAGAAACAAAATTATCCTAGTTATATACTAGGCAATGGTTCTTCCAAATTCAATGAGCATTTGAAGTCATTGATTTCACCCTTATTCTGTACAACAAGCTAAGTTTCTGCAAATTGTCAGAATCTCTGATTTAATTAAACAGTTAATATATATGTACAATGCAACAGATATTACTTCAATTTCCACCATCTTTCAAGCCAAAGGTTATTTATATGAAGTACTGCATATATATATATATATATATATATATATATATATATATATATATATATAGTTACACACACATACGTACTGCATCGTTATGTAATGAATCATATTGTATCCTTGTTACCAAATTTTTTTATATTTATAAGAGACCTTTAACCTAAAGTTAAAAAAAAAAAAAAAAAAAAAAAAAAAAAAAGAAGAAGAAGAAGAAGATAAATACATAATTGAATAAATTTGGTAGATTTCTAGCCACCCGGGAAAAAATCATACCTCCTTTAGGCGGGATTTACTTTCCTTAATATTATGGAATGTAATTTTCATTGGCTCAAACTTTCCTAAGTCAAAGATTGTACCAAATGTGGGAATAATTTACTCACCTTTTAAATTCCCAAGAAATTTCAAAATTTCTAGGCTATCAGACCGCGCTCTTAGACGATGAAACTCTCGTTTTAAAGGTGAACGGGTCCCATTCACAAATATTGGTAACCAATTTCCTCAAGGTCGGACTATAGTCTCCGTTGCAATACGTAGAAAATCTCTTGAGAGACCTATTATTTATTCCCTTATTAGAATAACTTGTATTTTCTTATGCGCGATACGCAAAAATTAGGTGCCCAATATTAATATTTTATATTAAGTTTTTTTATATTTAAATTATTATAGGGAAAATTATAAATAATGCCCCTCTATAATATGTCAACTATCAATGTCACCCCTGAATTATGAGTGGTGTAAATGTTACCCCTCAATTAACAAAACGGTGCACATATAGCCCCTCCCGTAACGGACATGTGGTTCCCCGTTAGTGTACGACACCGTTAAGTCGGAGTAAATATGTAATTTAATTGCTTTTTCCCTCCCTCGCTTCGAAGTACCAGCGAGGGACAGCGGTAGGGAACCACAGGTCCGTTACGGGAGGGGCTATATGTGCACCATTTTGATAATTGAGGGGCAACATTTACACAACTCATAATTTATGGGTGACATTGATAATTAACATATTATAGAGGGGCATTTTTTACAATTTTCTCATTATTATAAATAATAATAATAATAATAATAATAATAATAATAATAATAATAATAATAATAATAATAATAATAATAATAATAATAATAATAATAATAATATAGGAATGTTCAATTCCATTAATAATAATAATAATAATAATAATAATAATAATAATAATAATAATAATAATAATAATAATAATAATAATAATAATAATAATTTAAACATTTTTATACATTTGATATTTATATGGTAGGAAATAACTCCAAATTATAATGTATAAATATTATTATTATTGAAGAAGATAAGAAAATATATGGTGGATGCATGTGCATGGTAATGATAGTGGAAAAGATAACGGAAGTTATAACGATAGGGGTATGTTTGTCTAAAATATTGTAAAGTACAACCTGTATAACATAATATATATATATATATATATATATATATATATATATATATATATATATATATATATATATATATATATATATAAAACTTATCGGAAAAACGGACATAAATGAAGGATATAACTTTCATTCACACTTATATGTTTTTAGATTAGATAAAATTTCTTCTCCCACTATTCTCAAAGCACCTATGGTAATATATTGTAGTCATTTGAACCCCATGCCTAAATCAATTAAATAGCTAATACAATAAAGAAATATTTTATATGACAGCCAAAATTTCCATTTTGTTATGACCAATTATAGATCTTACGTATCTATACATGAAAAACATTAAATATTTCCATTATATAATTACAAATTTATGATCCTATATACCAACCGGTGAAAATCTCCATCCATGGCTGAGCTGTAAACATCTAATTTAATTTGTTTTTATTTTAATACCATAATAAAAATATTTCAATCAATCACATCGAATTGAAAAGTTCATGGAAAAACAAGGGCAATCGACTATAAATACACCACTCATTCTATATTATTAATACACTTAATCTCTATATCTTTGTGAGTGAATTATATTTTTTAAAAAAAAATGTCTAGCAATAATAGTACTGGAAGAATGGGTAGAGGTCGACAGAGGATTCCCCTATCTCGAATTGAAAATGATGCTCAACGTAGTGGCACCTTTTCGAAACGTCGCGATGGCCTTATCAAGAAGGCCAACGAGATATCTACACTGTGTGGCGTGGAGATGTTGTTGGTGTTTTTTTCACCTTCTGGCAAGGCTTATACTTTCAGCAACCCTAACATGGATACGATCCTAAAAAAATATTTTGGGGATAATCCTATGGCGCAAACCAATTTCACCGAACAACACTTGCCTGCTCAGCAGGAGGTCAACATGCAAATTCAGTATTCTCGAATTACTGACCTTGAAATGCAAATTCAAGATCAAATGAAACTAAATCAAGCTCTGCGTGATGCTGAAAAAGCCAGACCTCCTATTTCTGATCTTCCATTATCAGAGCTACAAGCCATGAAACACCGCATGGAAATGCTTCGATGTGATGTTTTGCAAGCAAAAATGAAAGTTCATGCACAAGCCAAAATTGCTCATGATGATGTTGGTCCTAGCGGTGGTAGTGCCCTCTAATGAACTAGTAAGAACCAAATGGTGACGGACATTCCCCGAGAGACCTAATCAGAAGAATTAAGATATTTGTGATATTTAGCACTATATTTTTTTTTATATCATTTTCGCATTTTATTATGTTTTGAAAAAGTTATATACAAATGATTGATTAAGAGATAATATGACTGCACATGTGCATTCTTGTTATCTTTTAATATTCATGTTAGAGTTTTGATATTTTAATAAATTATTTATGGCAATAATATATTGGCATTTACTTTTTTTTTTTGTCAAATTTAATTTATTCTATAGTACAAAGAAAAAAAAAAAAAAAAAAAAAAAAAACCTTCCACATAGGAAGTTAACAACAATAGTTATTGACGAAACTAACAATACGCCATGTTTGGTTCGCATATGAGAATTATAATTGAAATAGGAATCAAATACTTGTTATGGTAATGAGTTCTGATGAAAGTATTTTGCATGTTTGGTAGTCGGGTGGAATTGAAATGATTACTAATATTAATGTTTGATTGAGTATGATCCGACTCTATAATGGGAATAAATGTTTTAAAAATACAAAAACCAAAAAAAAAAAAAAAAAAAAAGCAAGACAATTCTTCATATAATATAATGACATCTAAAGCATCAAAATGAACAAAAAAAATTTTAAAAATCTAAAAATATTAATCCAAACTTAAAAATTAGATTATCAATAAGATGGAATAATGCCCATTTTTAATTAGGAAATGGAATTTTTAATTAAAGCGGTAATCAAAATCCAAGTTGTGTTCTAAAAAGTTATCAACCAAACACTAACTATGATTTTGATTTACATTCCTAATGTATAAACCCATGAACCAAACACACCCCAAGTATTTTTGTTTTCTCATGGAAGTGTTTTGTTTCTCATGAAAATTTGTTGCTTGATATGTAATATGTTGCAAAAAGTTCTCTAACAACATGAAGAGGTGAGAAAAACTAGCAAAAATAAAATTGTAAGAAACAAAAGTAAGGACACCAGATATTTCGTTCTTAGTGTGTGTGTGTGTACCCTTATTCTGTACAACAAGCTAAGTTTCTGCAAATTATCAGAATCTCTGATTTTAATTAAACAGTTAATATATATATACGTACAACAGATATTATATTTACTTCAATTCCACAACCTTTCAAGCCAAATGTTATTTATAGTCCCCCAAATAAGATTAGAGCAGCATCCTCTGCAGATCAGAGCTTGAAAGGGGGCCAAAGAGGGCAACTTCACATGAGGCTGCATTCACCATTTCACACCTAAGTGTCCCTGAAAATTGGCTGTGGTGTCCACCTGAGATGCAGGTTGATTCTTCCTGATTTCGTTCCATCTAGTTCGAACGTTTCTTTGTATTCGCCTTCTAACAAAACCCTCGTCAAAGTTAAGATGCACCGCCCCATATAATCCTGCAAGCACCCAAAAAGAAATCGAAGAACACACGGTTTAGCCAAAGACTGGCTGATAAAGTTGCAACAAGTGGTATCAGAGTCAGGTCACAGTTGCACAGTCAAGGCTGGCAAATAAGGGTCAAATCCAGCACCCTGCCTCTTGAAAATGTGACAGTATATAAGGAAACTACGAGCTATAGCAAGTATAAGCATGTGACTCTAGGTAGAATCCAACCCACATTGTCAACAAATATTCCTAAAGGATTAAATACACATAACTTAAAGATCGAGATTGCTTTCTCTAGCACTTGGCATAGTAGTATAAAAGATTTATAATGAACTCATGTTCTTAAGAAGCATAACCATTTTCGCAAAAAACAATGTATTTTTACCTTTCCGAACGTGTCATGATCCCATACTTCTATAATCAGCATATCATGCAATCCATCCTCAACAACAAAGTCGAAAGTCTGATTCCAGACAGGATTCAGATTGTCTGTTACAACCTGGAAATACAAAATGGATATCCAGACTGGATTCAGATTAAGAAAATCAATAGAAGAAACTAATCTATTGCTGAAATATAATACAAACACAAGAAATAGAGGTATCATATATACCCTGGTTTTGTTCTTGATTCCGGCTTTCTTCAAAGAAAGCACAACATACGGGTCGGCCTTTCCCATTAGATCTGTGGGAGCAAGGTCATCAGCAGAAATGACAGTAACAGAAAGTACGCCTCGCACAATGGCCTCCTTTCTTTTGTTCATATCAGCTCCATTTTCTGTAGCTTCTGCCTCACTTTCGAAAATTTTCTCTAATGCGGTCATGGAGTAGTCCTCGACAAAAGGGTTCATAAACCCATTCTTCATGCCATTGGGGCAGTACAACAGCTCCAAGTTCACCTAATGAATGTCCACAATAAGCATCATAAAACACCCTCTATTTGTATTTTGACTGTCTTTTAATTTCTATCCCAAAACCGAATCGTTTTCAATTTTTAAATAAAATTTGTTAGGATCAAGCGCTTATCACTATGTCAAAAGGATACAGTTCTGACCTGCCCCCGATATTTTTGGTCTCTTTGAACCTCCAAGTCTTTCACGAGCTCCAGCCATACATTCTTAACTTTGCAGGGCTCGAGCTCGTTCAAACTGACACGAGCACATCCAATCAACTCGCTTGACTGAAGCCCTTCATCATCGTAGATCTTTACCACCAAGTGCTGTGTTAATGGATCTTCAACAACAAACTGAAAATGCTCGTTCCAAACTGGGTTCAAGTCATTGTTCTGAAAAGAAGAATTATACTCGTTTATATTTACTTGGTCAAATGGATCCTGCAGAGAATTCTTGAAAGGAAACAGATGAACAACTTACAATTGTTTTGCTCTTTTTTGTTTTATCACGTAAGGGGCGTACATATAATGTTGCATAAGGATCAGATTTCCCAATTATGTCCTTATTTGTTAACCCCTTTGCTTGAATAAGTTTAACCTCCAACAATCCAACTGGCTTCAGTTCAAGGTCACTAAAACAAAAACAAAAGAAACTCAGAATCTCAATTAGAAATCGACGTTATTATCAAGCACAACAATATTACTAGGCAAAAACTTGTGGAAGACTGCCTCACGGATCCTTGTCCGTGAGACGGGTCAAGTCAAGATGAAAATGTAATACTAATCAGGAATAAATTGTTTGTTACTTAGTGTAATACCTGTAATCCCCAGGTAAAATGGGAATAACTTTCCGAACAGGCCACATGAGAGAATCTTCAATAGCATCTCGTATTGTGCCCTAGAGAATTGAATATCATTTTGTTAAACCAAGACTACATCCTCCAACAAAACACCAAAAACATTGACAATATATCAATTGACCATACAATTTTTTTAAGTAGTATAAACACTAGATGTTTAGCTTGGTTTGCCTGTTTGCAATTCTAAAAGAAACTGATGCAATTAAGTCAACGTTTTCACCGAACCTCAATCGCATCAGAGACGCCAGGTATTGCTGTCAGATCACCGCCAATTACTTTGAGCGTAAAATCCAGCTTTTTCTGCAAGTAAAAAAATGCTCGTAAGCCACAGATGCCAATGCCAGTTTAGATGCGGTTCTATGAGTTAATAGAACTGTCTTAGAGCTTTTAACCAAATTCCCTTCACTTATCTAAGACAAAACTCGAGAGTAGAAGCTTATATATCACCTTGTGTCTTAGAGAAACACATACAGCTCCAAAGCAAGGAAGCTCATCTACAAGCGGCCTTAAGATCAGCCTGAAAACCCCTGTAAACCCAATGTTTTTCACCTATAAAAGGGCAGAATCAGATGGCATGAAGTGAAATTCTATGAAATAGAAAGAACGTTTTTTTTTGTCCTAATCCCTAAGAATCAGTTGTTTTTGGGTGACAAAGGAAAACCCGCAACCACTACCCGAGAGTGTGCACTGGGTAAACCCCACCTTGTGACCCTAGCCAGCAAAGGATCACAATGAGGTAAACCAGCCTAGGTTTCCCATAACTGACCAGTTCAAACCAAGAAGGCTCAGTAGCATTCAACTAACCAACAACTTAGTTACCTGCACAGGTAGTGCAACACCGAGATAAGTCTTAATATCAAGTATTATACTCGGATTTCCATCCCACTGCACCTGTAACTCGATGGTAATCCCTTCACTTCCATCTTCAATGATAGAAATTCCTAAAGAAAAGCTCAATTCACGTCATCATCACAAATACTCTGCCTTAATATGATGAGCTCAAGAAATTATATAATTCAGTGGCATTCATTATGAGCAACTTAAGGAACATGTAAACAACCAAATTAAGGCTCCAACCTGTGCACTGTGGGGCAACAGTACCAAGAGTGAACCTTGAAAATTTCAATGATGCCAAAATCACTGGCCTGTATGATTCCAGAACAGGCTCGACGTTCATCTTAATCAACTCCGACGCCGCCTAATGCACTCCTCATATGTGAAACGAGTCAGGTTTTTCATAAGTATTACAGTTTTCCACATATGTATTACATTGTGCATCAAAATTATTAATTATCACAATTTTGCTCATAAGTAACAATCAGTCAATTTATCCCGTCAGCATAAGTATTACATTTCTATCTTGATTCAACCCGTTTTACCAATAAGGATTCTCACCCTATAAGCACAAAATCCCTGCACAGCGAAGAATAGAATTCTTACCTCATTCACGTATGGCCAGATCTTTTCGAGATGACTATTTAGCCACTTCAACTGAAAATTGAGAAAGGAAAATGGGAATTGAATTCTGTAAAATAGTTATACACAGAGGCAAAGATTGGACCTTCTGGTACTTAGAGAAGACAACCCAAGAAGGGTACTGGTCAGGGGTGAAGATCTTTCTGGAATCTTCCACGCTCATTCTTGCATACGCCGCAACCGTAGTAGCCTTTTTCCGGTAGTTCAAATAAATAAATGAATAAATACCAAAAAAAAAAAAAATACGAGCAGACACAGTAATAAGTAGTAGAATTCAGTTACCAGTTCACAACGGCGTTTGGACCGACTGTTTTCCGACTTCACAAACGCGATAACTAAAGCCAACCCGAATGCGATTCCGATCACTATTCCAAACAAAAACGCCATCTTTGGGCCTCTGAAAGACTCTATGGAGTGAATTGAAGTCCTTGGAAGAGTGAAGTGCTTTCTGGCGATTACTGATTATGGGGTATTAGAGTTGGCGAAATGAGTGGATTTTGGTCGTTGTAATCAAAGGATTTGCGCGGCCAAAAGCGCGAATTCTGTTGCCAGAAAGCGAAAAGATGAAAAGGATGCATGGCTGCAACTTGCAATCTGCCGACAACGTGGTTAAGGTGGTGAGGCCATGACGCTTGGAACCAATTCTATTCTTACATGTCATCACATTATCCTTTTCGGAACACACAATCAGACAAAGCATGTCAACAACTCTTATTTGTTAGGTTTCACCAATTTATTTATTTTTTTCACCAATTTAATTTATTTGTTAGGTTTCATTTTCCATGTTCATTTTTTGTCATTGACGAGACAAGATTATTGTAGCCTTTGATTAAAGGTAGGTGAATTATTGTAATATCTGATAATCAATTGATTGGGAGGTCAGCCATGGTGGGTCATCAAAGGCCGGAAATGCTGAGCCATCTACGCCAGTGACACCACTCAATTTGTGTTGCAAATATTCTGTGATTTTGATACTTGTTTCATTGCTTTCTTGACTTTTAACCTAAAACTTTACAATATGTTATATTACACAATTATATATTACAATCAATGAGTGAGTTTACTACAACAAATGACAAGACGCCTCCTTACGTGTATGAACATATTACTTTTTGATAGACCACACACAATGCGCTGACCATAGCACAAAGACTCAAACCCATCAATTACATTTTTATAAGTTGTGAATCATAGAGTAGAGATTTGCACTTGTCGGTTACTTTTTGACAGGTTACGCACAACACGTGAATCATATTGCGGGTCGGAGATTTTAACCTTCTAATTACTTTTTGACATACACACACAACATGTAGACCATAGTGTGGAGATTCAAATTAAACTTATAACATTTTAGATAGGTAGACGTACTCTAATACCAAATTGAAATATGTGTAATCTAAATTGAAGCTCAATAGTATTCTCTCTGATTTATATGAGCAAATTTTACTTTATTAATCGATTATTGTGGTATTGTCACATTTAGTGCTACTCTTTTATTATCTCATCCTATCCTATATATAATAAAGCTATATGGTCTTGTGAAAATTGAATGTTGCATTTAATTTTCACAAGACCATATGACTTTAAGATGTGAAAGTCTTGTGAAAATTAAATGGGCTTTAAGATGTGAAAATTACTTTAAGATGTGAAAATTAAATGCTTAAAGCCATATGGCTTTAAGAAGCATGCATGCAACGCCAAAGTCCATAAGTTTGAAATTAATATATAGCATAGCTATGTGGCTTAATATTTAAGATTGTTGATGTGCATATTGAGGACTACGGAGACAAAGATGCGTTATTCGTGGATTCATCGGATAATATCCAACAACACTCTCCAACTTAATTGACGTGAAGTAAGCTTAGTAACATTAAGATTATATTCTTGAATTATTAGTTCTTATCTTTTATTGATTACACACTTAATTCGATAGTATTTGGAAAAGAATTATTATTGAATTTAGGGACGTTTGGTTCGAATAATGGAATCAAAATCATAATTTGAATCAAATATTTGGTAATTACAACTTTAACAAAAATAAATTTTTAGAAAAATACAACTTTAAGTATTTTACGTATTTGAATTAAGCTTGAATAGCTTAAACTTGTGTAGAGTCGAGCTCGATCTAAAAAAAATTGAGTTTGAGTTTCGATTTTTTAAATCAAACAAAACTTTAAGTTTTGACTATTTAGATTTGACTCAAGTTATTTACGTTGTACAGGAGCCTTTGTGTCTCTGAGTTGTTAAATTAAATTTTCTGAACGAATAACGGCCCGTTATTATTTTTTTTTATATGGAAGCATACACTTAATTGAGAGAATGAGAGGCAACATCCTAGCTAGGGCCACGATTGAGGTAGAGACTAACGCATAGCGCGATCAACATTAGTGGCATGTTGCTCACTTGCTTGTCTTTTTTATTAACCAAGATAGTCTCGTAGTCTTATTAGGTACTACAACTCGAATTTGATCCATTGAATTTTCTTCGAAAAATAGAGTTAGAATTGGAAAGAAGTACCTGAGGTAAAGAAATCCCTCAAGAAATAGGTGAGAATTTGGAAACAGATTTGTTTGCAATTTATTCTTAGACAAGAATACTAACTACTAAGGCTGTTTTCATTCCTGAAAGAGGACCTCTTGCAAAATACTATAGTGTGTAAGCAGTAAGATAATGTGGAATATTTATTTTTATTTTGTTTTATTTTTTTTATCCTATGTGGCTTGAAAGCTTGCTACAACCTTTTGACTTTTTTTTTTTTTTTACTTTTTGTTATTTTAATATTATTTTATTATTATATTTATATAATATAATAATATAATATGAAAGTGAGATCACTTTTAAAAGTGAGAGAGTATTTTAGGGATATAGAGAAAATAGTTGAAGAATTGTAAATTTAATGATGTGGGAGTGGACTCATTTTTTAAAGTAAGATAGTATTACAGGGGTAAGGATAGCCTAAGGCTATCTTTATCCCTAAGATTTTGCTTCTTTCAAAGTGACATGGCATAAGCCATGTCACTATTTATTAATTAAAATTTGCATTTTAAGTACATTTCTATCACATTTAAATAATAATAGTATTAAAAATGTGGTCTCACTTTTAAAAGTGTGTTAAAATTACAAATTGTAAATATAATGATGTGAAAATAGGACTCACTTTTAAAAGTGAGAGAGTATTACAGTGATAAAGATAGCCTAAGAACTTTTTAATATAGCTTGGTTGAAAACATTAAATGTATAAAAAAAAACAAAAAAAAAATACCATCAAGATATGGTTGGAACTTGAGGGTCCCACTCATAGTTGAAGCACCCCTACTAGGAGCTATATGCTAGTCTGCGAGACACCCCTGGACTTGCTGACATGAGAATTTATCTAAGGCATCCTTAATAGAAGATTTATCACGATTTTTTAAAAAACGATAAATAATGTGAATGAGAAAATGTGAAAAGAGAGAATGGGTGAGGTTCTATAGTAAATACGTGATTTTTTAATTTGCAGTGAGTGAATCTCACCACTGAGGAGAAGAGTTGCGCCTCACAACGCGTGAGGCGCAACTCTCGCACCCAGTCGGGCGCATGTAGTCGCGCCCTCTTAGGCACGTAAATCTGTATTTTTTAAAAAAATAAATTTCAGATTTTGATTTTATTTTTTTTCTTTTCATTATTTTCTCCCCTCTCATTTTCTATTTCGTAGTCTTTCAAAAACTCTTCAAATACCTCACACTATTGAGGATGCTCTAAGGGCATCCTCAATAGTGTGAAAATTTTAAGGGGATTTTATAGGTGTGATTAGGAAAGAGAAAATGAGAGAAAAAGAAATAAACAAAAAAGAAAAAAAAAACAAAAAGATTAACGCGCTCGCTGGGCGCGCTGTTTCTTATAAACGAGCAAGGAATGCCCAAATTATTAAATAGATGGGACCCAAATTACTGATAAAATTCCCATTTTACTGCAACAATCTCAGCCTCCTCTCTCCTCTCTCCTCCACCTTGCATTTTTCTTCTTAAAATTTGTGCAAAATCTCCCTACTGGGGATGGCCTAAGAGCATCCATAGTAGTGAAAATTTTTTGTATTTTTTTGAGTGCCACATAGGAGTGAGAAGAGGGAGGGAAAAAAAAAAAAAAAAAAAAAAAAGCAAAAGGAAAAAAAAAAACATAATCTGAAAATTCTAAAAAAAAAAAAAAATAGCAAACAAAGGTTTTTGAGTCATAGTGGCCGCCAGCTGGCAGCCACTCTGACGTGCCCCAGCAGGCGCGAAATGTGCTTCACTTGCGCACTTTAGTCTCTTTTATTTTATTTTTCTTTTAAATACTCCTGCAAAAACAAAGAGTAAACTTTTTGAAAAAAAAAAAAAAACACCATTCACATCAGTTAAAATCCTAAGGGTAGATTTTGTGTTATGCAAAATTTGTGTAAAAATCACAAATGTAAATGTCCTAACTACAAATTCTAGGATGCAAAGTTAGGTCTTCCTTTCTTGATGCAAAGTTAGGTTCCAATCCTTCTTTTATTTGGAGCAGCTTGATGGCAACACAGGAGATCATCCGTAAGCACTCCAGATGGAGAATAGGGAATGGTTCGTCTACTCGCATTTGGGGAGACAATTGGCTGCCAGATAACAACAATCCAAAGATTCAATCGTTTCCCTACCCGTTCATGGAGAATTCAAAAGTGGAAGACCTCATTGATCCCATTACTCATTCTTGGGAAGAATATACTATCCGGAACATCTTCACAATCAGAGATGCGGACCTAATCATGAAGATACCTTTACCCAAGCAACTTGTGCAGGACAAAGTCATTTGGGGCCCTGAAGATAGTGGCTTGTTCTCAATTAAAAGCTGCTATAAATCCATCGGAGAAGAGTTGAGGATGGAGGATACCAAGTGATGGGGTGAGAACCCCGGCCCAAGAAAAGAGGCCCAGAAAGAATGCATGGGCCGAGTCCAGGACTCGGCCCAGGTCCAAAGAGGGAGGCCCAGTTCAGAAACCGGAAGGACGGCCCAATACCAAACGGGGACGAGGAGTCGGCCCAGGCCCGACCTAGGAGAGGACTCGGTCCAGAGAGCCGTTGAGAGAGCCTTCAACGCAGTTAAGACAAGGAGCCGTTGAGGCATTAAAGGCCGGGCTCGGTCCGCCAGTTACTAGCCAAAAGAGAGCCGTTGGCAGAATCCGTAACGTCGCCCAACGGCTCGGCGCATTGAATGTAATCTTTAAGTCGGCCATCATAAGCCTTTAAGTCAGTAGAGGAGGAGCCACTATAAAGAGGGCTCCTCCACCATTGTATGAGGCAGATTCAAGAACCCGGAGAGGGAATAGACAAGTACTACTAAGCATCATATTTTACTAAGACTCAAACCCTTTTGGGAAAGGTGTATCCTCCAGCTTAAGGTTGTGTTGGTCCTCCTTGGGCTCGAAAACCCAAAAACCATCACTGGCGCCGTCTGTGGGGATTGAAACGAAGAGTCACGTGTCCTCTTGGGTGAGGCGAGTCCGAGAAACAATAGTTGAATCAGGTCAGCTCCAGACATGGCTGGAAGCGGGGAACAGTCGAGCCGTCAAGACAACGGACGAGAGGCCGACTTGAGAAACCAGCTGAATAGAAGAAACGCCCGAAGCCATGAAAACGAGACGACACCGCCGCCGACGCCGCTGAGAAACC